AACACCTCCCTCTACCGCCCCACCATGCCCAGCTTGGCACACCTAGGTGCGCCTCAGTCTACGAAAATACCAAACTGACTGTGTGCCGGGCTCCGCCAGACGAAAATACCACTGTGCAGTGTGTGCCACAAAAGTAGAGCCCTAAAAGTGAATGGATAAATGTTGAGTACAAAGGACTGCATGGTTAGAGAAATTAAAATTAGCTTTACCATTAAACAGAGTATGCACACTCATTCACTCCCAAATTTCCTAGAAACTTTGGGATAATCAGGCCATCTGTTCAGGTGAGTTGAAGCAAACTTCCAGCTCCGGTTCTGCCTGAACCTCAGTTAAAATCAGGAAGAACCTCCACCAACCACAGCTGGGACTGACGCTAACATCTGCCATGAATTATTCATGGACTTTTTACATCAGCATGCAGCTTGCCTGATGAGATCCAACACAAATCGTAACACCATCTGTCTCCCAAACACTGGCACGATGGAGGTGTCAGGGCGTGCGGCTCATCACTCAGTGTATTCATAATTAATGAAACAATCTGTACGTCGACATCACTGCTGCTCAGTCACTCACATTAAAGGTGGATTACGTACTCTTTCATGCAACACTAACTAAAACGTCTGCTGGTTAGATGAAGTTATCTAAAGATTTATTTATTATAAATGAGGCACTTAACCTCCAAACAAACATCCTGATGGGTCAGATTAGAGTCTAATTTGGTAAATTCACTGATAAATGGATGCTATTAATATCATTTCATCCTTCTGTGCTTGAAAATAACCCGCCAGTTGTAAAATCATTGTCAACAAAAGAATGAAATTTATCTCTGAATTGTTCCTTAGAGAAACCCGGAGCTGAAAATATAATTAAGAGTCTTTCCTTTAAGAATAAGGAGGTCTTGATGTGAGATTATGAGATTATTTCTGCAGGGGTTAACTCATACTTTACAGCTTTTTATCACATCTAACTTGGGAAAAGTTCTTGTCTTTCCTACGTTGAGGATGTGATAAGTTTTAATTCACTCTGACCTCTTATCAGTGGATGTGTTAAGGTTTATAATCTCTCAGGTTTCCGACCTGGCCAAGCGCCTTTGTAAATCAAACCTGATATATATCAAGAGATAACGTGCAGAGTGGGATCAGGTGGTATTCAAGAAAGTGAATATTTACACTGTGTGATCGATTTGATCTCAATTTTGAAGGAGGGGGTGGATTTTCTTTGGGTTTTAATACAGAGCAGTCCTGTAGTGAGCCTGCACGATCAATATTAACCTAGATCCTTTCACCACATCTCCTCACCCCTGTGGTCACTCTCTGGACTCATGCAATGGCATATTTTAACCAGCAAGGGGTGAAGAAAAGTGCTGCAAAGACAGGAGGACCAACATAATTATTCTGTGGTTCAGGTGCTCCAGATTCCAGGAAAGTTGGGACGCTCCATAAAAGCAGGATTTGAAGGTTTGAAAGGCGTTTGGACTGTATATTATATGGACAACTTGGCTCCACCTCCTGTCATTGTATGAATATGAAGCCAAATTGCTCCGTATTTCTCCATTTCCTGAAACTAGCAAAACTAGTTTGGTGGGAGAGTCGCTGTGATGACGCTCTGCTCAAACAGCGTATCCCCGGGTGAGCTACACAGTCTTTGTACGCCCATAGGCTGTATCAAGTGGCAATCATAAAAAACATGAACCCCCTAATAACTTTGAAAAATTGAGCTGTACAGAAAAAGAGGACTTGAGCACAAACCAGTCATACAGTAACTACATGTCAACATCCGACCAGGGGGAAGAAAATTCATATTCTGTGTAATAAATATCTAAAGTTTGTCCACAGCTCCATAAAATTTGATGGAGAAGGGATTTATGACCTATATGGCAGCCCGTCACCAGAGGTTGCTGTTCTCGCGGAGGCTCCACCCAGCGAGGAGGCAGACGGCACCCGCTCTGTATATGGTCAATGGTTTGGACCTAAGATTTAAGTGGACACAGTGCAAAAACAATATATCAAAAATGTGAATGTTTTATGAGAAATCCATGCTCAGTATAAAATTAAGGCTCCATTAATGCTGAACAATATCTCCAGGTTTAGGAGCATCAGGACTCTCTAGTTGAGTGACCGCATAGGCTTAATATCACTTGTCAGTAAACTGTCCTGAGGTCTGATAAATCCAAATCTAACACTCTTTTGGAAAGGACAACTTGACTTACTTGGGACGTTTCGCCTTAGGCAAAGTATCCTAAGTAAGTCCAACAAAGAATTGGAAATCATAGATGCTGCATCCTCAGTTTTAAACAATATCTCCGGGTTTAGGACAGCATCTGCTGCCTTCCAAACAATTACTTTTTCAGGGAAGACCTTTATATTTCCTTGCTTTGCTGTCTTTCTTGTCGGTTTAACCCAGCTTGTTAGTGGACAGCAGACACAGATGTGTTTCATCGCCTCTCTTGTGTAATTCTATCGTATATCTAAATAAACAACATTCGAGAAATCGTCCCAAAAAGTCAAACATGGATTTAAAACAAAAGTGGGGCATTGTTGAGGATCATAAACTCCAAATAATTTACTAACCAATTAGAGCAAACTGCTGGAGCTGTAAACAGAACATAATTAGAGTTATGTTGAATTCACTTTCATTAGCGAGTGTTATGTTTTTACGGTTTTGCATGTCAATGAGGGTTTTTAGCTCCTCTCATTTCATTCTTGGTTTCAGTGCTGAAAGGATTATTGGTCAGGGAGGACGCAAGAATATGTCTGCCTCTGACTGTTCTTTCTCTGTCCGTATTTCCCATCATCTGTTCAGTTCTCTTTATTCTTGTTGATTGATACTGCAGGTTTGATGTCTTTACATTCAGCTGTTGATTTTTTTTTTCTGTCAAGCACACAAAAGTTATAATTTCTTCACCCACCTTTATTAGTTTTACACCCTGGACTCCTTTTGTCTCATCACAGAGTTTAATTCTGCAGCCTTACTGAGGTTCCAGTCTGTTTGGTGGTTTGCATTTCAAATAGGCTAACCTAAGCGTTTTCTGCCAGTCTCTGGGCGCGGTGATCAAAGGCTTATTTCCCAGGGATACATTTGTCGTATTCACTTTCCTCCACTACACAGACTCAAGATAATGTGCCAATTTGTGAAGCCTTTTTATTCAGAGGCTCATATTGGAAAGAGAAGTTTTTTCTCTGCCCATGTAAGCTAGCTCCACTTTATTATCCACATAAATAAACTGAACTCTTAAAGCTGCAGGTGCTCTTACAGAGCTGTAAACTACAGGAAAAGTCATTTGCGAGCAAAGGTTGGTTTTCTTGACTTAAATGAGAGTAAGTAGAAAAGGTACGCTTTTTTACCTGACTCTATGCGCAAATGGACATTGTATAACCACTTCCTTTAGTGTAAAAGTGAAGCCAAAAACTCATTAATACTGGTGCTAACATCTTGGTCACACCAGCCTCTTCAAGTCAATCTCAGCTTGCTTTGATGGATCAGAGTGTTTTGCTGTAGGAATCAAATATCATGGAGAAAACTATTGTGACGAGCTGGTGTGAAGCTCTTTGATTAACCCCCTCTAACTAACAGTGTTGGATCAGTCTTCAGTTTTTGGTTAGATTAGATACTAAACTCTATATTTTTCCCCTTAATCCCTCACCAGTCACCAACTTTTCAGTGTTGCCTTCTCAAAAGTTGGACATAAAAGACAAACTGATGTGTCTTTTAATTGTCCTCTAATGTGTCCTTGAGTGCCCTGAAAGGCGCCAACAAATAAAATGTATTGGCTGTGAAATGCAAACATGTCCATCCAATGGTCAACTGAGTCCACATCACACCATAACTTTTTTAACTTTATTACTTACTTAAGTGTGCATGCGGATGCAAAAACCTGTCGACAACTCGATTCCAAAGGCCACTGGAGTTGGTCAAGGTTTTGGGAGACATTTAGCCTCTAAGGAAGCGAACCAAGACCCTAGAGCTCACATATTTTGTCCCCCACCACAGATCAGCTGAGCGTCACACCAATCCTAATGTACAGGGTTATCCAAGGACAGGGATCAGGATTTTTTTGAAGTGGACCAAACAGTCACCAAAGTCAAGCTGGGTCTATGGCTTAATAAGGTAATTTAACTGGACAGTGGTCCTCGTCCCAGTATACAAGCACTGGGCAAGAATCCATTTGTTGACAGAGGAGCCTTTTCTTTTGCTACAGTCGGTGGTGACACGGCTTGTTACTCCTGGGCTATTTTCTGGCTGGCCTGCTATGTCACGGACCAAAACAATTGTCAAACACATTAGCAAAAGCAGAATTTGGTTCTGAAGGTCCTTACACACCGGCGAATTTACGGAGTGAAGTGAAAAAGCGAGACGAAAATTGCGAACATTCGCCGGTCCGAAAAATCGCTTTCGCCTATACACACCGGGCGCGGAGCGAATATGCGTATAAATTTCGCAAAGCGAATTAATTCTTTCGCGCCCCACAGGAGAGGAGAACAAAGACATGGAGTCAACAACATCCTCAAGCGATGATGAGCTTGTTGTGATGCTTTTGGCAAAAAAAAGACAGAAGACTAAACAAAGGAGTGTTTGGGTACATCCCATCTTGACTTGGAGGAAGGAGATGGGCGAGTTCCACACCACCATCCAGCAGCTGAAGTTGTACCCCCCAAAATTCCGCCAGTACTTCAGAATGTCCCTCGGGCAATTTAACGACCTTCTCCAGCAGCTGACCCCACGGCTGGAGAGGCAAACAACCAACTACAGAGAGCCAATTGGTCCAGAGGAGCGGCTAGCCACATGTCTGAGGTAAGATTAAAATAATAGGCAATATTCTATATGAATGAGACAAAGTCCCGTTTTCTTGAAAGCTCCGGGCCCCCAGACCCGTTATCATGAATATAAGCTCATCTATAGCTCACTCGTCTCCAAGAGGAGCTGGATGGGTTTGCCATAGCGTGATTGATAAATGAATATTCAATACAATTTGATTCAAATTGCCTTTCTGTGTGCTCCAAATGAGCGTCCTCAGACCTATCACGTAGGCTACTACTACTACTACTAAACAAAGATGATTCCCTCAATAGAGTTTTACGCATAATATGACGAAACCCTATGTAGCTTCTTTGTCCTTATCACACCCAAAACACAAAACATAACCGTGAGCATAGTATATCTAGATATATAGTAATACATGATATAACGAATTAACCTCTTATAGCCATCAGTCCGTTTCAACCCGTCTCAGCAACTAGTCAGTTCAGTTGACGCGCTACAGCTCAGATCATGCATAATTGCATATTTCTATTGTCTATACAATAGAATAGAGAACATGTATTAACACATAATATTATATATTACAAAAATCACACAATTTTCTTATTATTAATCTAACATGTAATCCTTTATTTAGTAAGAAACCCCTTCAATTAAAATAATGGAATATGCCTGAAGATTCTGTTTCCAAATTATGCTCCCAGGTACAACCTGCTGGTGGAAAGTATACAACACAACCACAAACAATAGGTAATTATAGGCTAGGCAAAGGTTCCCAAACTTTTTAGGCTGTGCTCACAAAAATAAACATATTTGAACTGAGGGACCTGACAAGCACTTGGAATTGTAGATATTACATTTAGTTTGACTCTGTTCCACTGATACATATTGTGAAAATAGCAGATCTACAAACTTGTAGATCTGCTATTTTCACAATGTTTGCCTCTTTCTCACTTACTATTTTACAGTGTGGCCAGTTTGGTACCGAAAAGGTGTTAAAAGTCATTGAATTGCCATGTCATGAATGTGCAGATACCCTGTATACACTTATACTCTATGGCAGATTATTTATTGTTGAATGACAAGAAATATGGCATTTAACATTTCATCTGGGGATTCCACAAAATAATTTGCCAACTTTGGGAACCACTGGGCTACTGCATAAAATGCTATGGACAGGTTAAGTACATCTCAAACATTACCTGTAGAGTAACTTAACAACAATCCCTTCAAATCAATTTAAGTGTGTGGCCATATTGGTTTGTACAGAATACATTAAGTAAGAAAAGATAAGCTAATACTCTTTTTCTCCTGTCTTTGTAGATTTCTATCCACCGGTGATAGCTTTACAACGATTGCCACAAGCTTCCATCTTGGGGTCTCAACAGTGGCTCAGATCGTGAGGGAAACCTGCGACACCATCTGGGAACAGCTGAAAGACACCCACATGCTGTGTCCAGACAGGGATAGGTGGATGAGCATTGCGGGGAGATTTGAGGAGCAGTGGAATTTCCCCCATTGCATAGGTGCACTTGATGGGAAACATGTTGTGATCCAGGCACCTCCCAACTCTGGATCCATGTTCCACAATTACAAGGGCACCTTCTCCATAGTTCTGCTTGCCCTGGTGGATGCAGACTACAAGTTCACAGTGGTTGACATTGGAGGTTATGGAGGAAACAGCGATGGGGGTATCTTTGCCAACTCCAATCTGGCCAAAGCTCTCCAGGCAGGACAGCTTGATGTCCCTCCACCATCTCTCCTACCAGCAGCACCAGAGTTGGGTCCTCTGCCATATGTGGTGGTGGGTGACGAGGCATTCCCCATGAAGCCCCACCTCCTCCGGCCTTATTCAGGGCGTCGTCTTCCCGAGAACACACAGGTCTTCAATTACCGTCTCTCTAGAGCCCGCAGAATAGTGGAGAACACCTTTGGCATCCTCACACAGCGCTGGAGGGTCAACACCGGAAGACTACAAGTTGGCCCTGAAACAGCAGACAGCATAGTGAGGGCAACCTGCATTCTCCACAACATGCTGCGGTCTGCTCAAATCGGTGGCCAGAACCGAGACGATGAGCCGGATGAAGATGAGGTTGGGGTTGAGGACGAGGAAGAGAGCATCCTCAGACCACTGGGGAACCTGCGGGGCAACAGGGCATCCAATGAGTCCCAAAGAATAAGGGATACCTTTCGCAGGTACTTTAACTCACCAGCAGGACAAGTGCCTTGGCAATATGCCCATGTCAACCGTGGTACTCGTCTGGGGCGTTCACTTGCAAGAGCTGTAGTGGAACCATGAGCACATGCAAATTGAATTGACCTCTTTTTTGTTGTTTTTTTGGCACAACACATTAAATACACAGCAATAATTTAATTTTCATTAATACATCTAATTTGAATAAAATAGTTATGAGTTATGCAAATATTTAATTAAATGTTGAATGTATTGTTATAGTTTGTTGTTGACAGAACTCTATAGCATTATTGTTGTAAATTATTAAGTCCATGGGTTATTAAGTCATTTGTCATCATTTGTTCTATTGCTGTAATAATAAAAGCCATGTTTCTTCACTTGAAAGTTGTTTAATATATTTCAACATAAAAATTAGCAGTTATAAACAATACAAAACACATAAATAAAATAAATAATCAGTGTAACTAAAGAACATCTGCTCCATTCACATTGAAATGCAATGGCTGGCAGATTTAGCTTATCAGCTGGAAATCATAATTTGGTGACCGTGCCCTGAAACTCTCTAAATTAGAGGGAGGTAAATTCAGGATATGTGTGTTGCTGCTGCTGGTGCTGGCTGTATCATGGCTGTGGCTGACTGTAAGCTGGTCCAAACTCAGCCTCATGGACCAGGCCCTGCATCTTAAATTTCAGCCAGGACTGCCTCTCGGGGGGGAGTCTCCTCATGGCCGGTGCCAGGCTGAGCAGGAAGAGGGTCACCTCATCCTTTTCTTTTTCTCTCTCTCTCTCTCTCTGCTCAGCCCTGGCCTCCTTTCTGAGCAGGTACTCCTGCAGATAGGTCTCCTCAACAGCCTTCATTTTTGCCTTGCCACGTCGTCTGTGAGTGGGGTGCAACAGGTAAACTAATCTGTTTAAATCGATAGTAATAGACTGACAAAGCAACTACATAATATAGGCTCTATGCAGATATGCCATTTTGACTTGAACCAGAAGCTATCCCTTGCTTACGGTGCCATCAAGCGCCGTCTAATGTTTAATTGGCTGATAATTATAAAGATCACCGGGTGGCAGGCCGCATGGGAAAATTATGTTAGTAGTCTATTTTATCATTTAAGCCTATTGTAAATATTATTATTTGGCTAAAGTAGTACAATCATTATGACATTATAATGATTTTGATTGATTTTGTGATTGATTATCAATAATAAACCCTAGAGTCTGTGTTCACTGCGTGCCACAGCGCTGATCTGGACAACAGTTGGATCTGTGAGGCTTGTATGTATAGGATGTCTGCTGTGTGTGCCAGCACGGTGTATTGAAACATGTTGTAAGCTAGCAGCTCTGATATTTTCAATGCGTGACACCATCATATGACGAACAGGCTGATCTATGACAGTGCACACAGCAAAAACTACACTGACTGTCAGATCATGATACAATTTTAAAATCATTATGGTGTTTTAATGATTCTACTACATTGGTCAAATAACAATATGAATAATAGGCTTAAATAATAAAATAGCCTATAACATAATTTTCCCATACAGTCTGCCACCCCATGGGCTGGGTGTGGGCATTTTCTAACTAATCCTTCCCATTGAAATGGCATGTCTGCATATGGCCTATTGATAGAATAATTTCTAAGAAGATAATGGATAGTTGCAGTGCCAGGTGCGGGTCTACCTGGGGGCTACAGCAACACTCTCCTGCGCTGTTTCTGGATCCATATTATGGACAGAAGGGTCTAAGGACCCAGCAAGGCCTGATGGCCCAGCTGCCTCCTCTGTCTCCTCACCCTCCTCCTCGACCTCCAGGTTACTCACCGTCCTATTCAAGAACAAGTAGTTAGAGCTGTGGGGACCCTGTATAGCATTAGCCTGTTATAGCGTCACCACGAGGCTGATTGCTAGGGGGAAATATGTAGGATGCTATTTGTTCTTTGGCTTAGTGGGGATGTGTGTACAAAGTTTCACATAAACTGGGCGCTGGGTTCACAATCTGAGGCATATTTTTTACAAAACGTGGCCAATCTTGGCTAAGCAGGATAAAATATGAAAACTGACCAATCTATCTTGATCACATGACTATACAGATACAGTGCACCAATTTGTGTGATTTATTGAAAGAAATTGTAGGAGTATTATCAAAATGTGTTTTGCAAAAATCAGACTCCTGGTGACGCTATAATAAAATGATGTGAAAGATTTGGGGGAGAAGTCCTGCCTTGACCTGAAACCTTGTAAAAAAAAAACAAGTCGCCCTTTATTTGATACAAAGAGATGTGAAAAAAAAACAAAATACTAAATGAAGGCAAAATCATGCATATGCATGTTGGTTAGCCCCTTTAACCATAATAGCTGATGACTGTTCCACCTCTAAATCACAACATGTTGCAAAATATATTTTGCAACATGTTGTAGCATCATAAATTGGAACACTAAAAAACACATCAGCAGATTACAAAAGTGTTTTTAATGCACCCCAATAGGGATAGACCACACATGGACATATGACATTATCAAATTGTAACGAGTGGTCCCTAATAAGTGAAAGATTATCTTTTTATAAAACAAATAAAATATTTAAAGCTGTTTCTGTTATACATTATTATGTTTTAGTACAGAGGGCAATTATAAAGTATCTAGGCATATTTGTCTTATTAGCCAGGGATCCGTTTGAAGACCTTCAAATGCATAGGAGCCCAGTTATGAGCTGGTTATAACATTGAGCCAATTTTATTACAATATGATCAATTATTACCCCCCCCCCCCCCCCCCGGGGGTCCCGACCCACACATTGAAAACTACAGTACCTCCGGAATTCTGAGGAAACCACCATCAGGGCGTGCATGGCGTCCCAATGGACCCACTTCTTTTTGTTTTTTTTCTCTGCACCAGTTCTCTCCTCCTCCTGCTTGTTCTTCTTCTCCCGCCTGTAGGTGTCCTTGAGGTTCTTCCACAATTTCTCGGCTTTCCCCTCTATGAAGTAGAAGCAGAGTAGCATTCATACAATGAATTGAGTATAAATGATAGCAATGTCTCAATGAACTGTGTATAAAGGACCCCAATGTAAACAAGCCATAGTCCCTTCTTGGATGTAAATCTTATAAAAGTGGTAACTAAAAGAGTAACCGGTCAACTCACAAAAAATCCCACACATCCCTTACCAACCGGCTGTGGGACATCTCACCATCCAGCCGCGGTCGACTCGCCAGAGTCATCTTGCCAACCAGTCGTGGACTGCTGGCCGTAACAGCCGACTGCTCTGCCACTGTAATATTGTGTGTGTCTGTGTGATGTTTGTATTACTCCTCCATTGTATTGTGTTTATTATGTGCGTGTAAATTACTTCATACAAATGACCCATTCACATCAACATGTTTGATAAATTGATTTCAAGACAAAAGCAAAGCTTTGCCCCGTTGGGTCCCCTATATATCCTTTTTGTATTTGAGCATTGTAATCATGACGGTACGTTCGGTATCCCTTTCACTCGCTGGTAAACACAACAAACTCGAAACAGCAAACACATTATAAACCAAGCGTGTTTACATTACGGCCCAATAACACATTTGCATCGTTGACATTGTTAAAGGGGACCTGCCATAAAAATGTAATTTTTGGGGTTTTTTGTGTCAGATAAGGTCCATATTATGTTCGTCTTATGTTGTACATGTGAAAACAAACCGTTACGTCGTTTGCATTCTGTAAAGGTTTCAAATAAAGGAACGAGTAAACCAGGCCAATTGAAAAAGCAGGTCAGTGTTACGTTGCGCCGACCTTGCTCATTATTATTCACGAGCGCGTCCTCGGTGAGCCGCGCCCACTCTCTCGTACTCGTACTCAGTCACAGCCAGAGCGAGACCCAGCTACCGCTGTATCCGCTATGGGTCTCTTCCAAACGATCGGTGTTTCCTTCGGTTCACTGGCGGGAAAATGAACTTAAAGCCGGGCAGAATGAATGAGAAAACGCCGCTGGAGATCTCCGGCTTCTTCCTCAACTTCCACCTCCTCTTCGGACTCGGGGTCTAAAATATATGGTTTAATACCTGCCATTTTTAGCCTTTAGCATAAGGTGACCAGACGTCCCCGATTTCCGGGGACAGTCCCCGTATTGGATGATCTGTCCCCGGCAAAAGCTGTCCCCGAAAATGTCCCCGATTTAAGCGTTTCATTAATGAGAGCAAAAATGTTGCGTGTGGGCTCGAACAACGGTTATTACAGTAGCCGAATTGGTAGGAAGCACAAGTTAGCAGTCCTGAACAACAGTTCTTACGGGGGTTATTACAAGGGGCATGCGCTGCTACTAAATAGTACCGAGACTTTGTCTGTGATCACACAGCCCCTGCAGCCCCTGCAGCCCCTGCACCGCCGCACCGAATATCCCCGGATATCATTACAGACATCTGGGCACCTTACTTTAGCACACATTAGCATATGCTATTAGCATTAGCATAATAACAATGGATAAACCGAAATCCGAACCTCCACTGCTGAGCCAATCAGAGCACAGCAGGCTTCACAGCAGCGATCCAATCAGAGCAAAGCTCATTACCATAAATGTTAATGAGCCAAAACCAGTTGGTTTTCCTGTAAGGTTTTTTAGGCATACTAAAACAAACCATCAAATAACTTTTCAGCTAAAATTATGTTGCAAACATGATCAGGGGACATCAAGGATTATGAAAAAATGATAAAAATGGGTATGAAATTTTGGTGGCAGGTCCCCTTTAAACAACATCTATGAAACCATATACCAACTTTTACCTCACTTTGAAAAAGTTATCAGGCTGGTTGCTGCTTGTAGTACTAGCTCGCGAGTTGACCAAATATGTTCGAGGATTGATACATGTGTATATTATGCACTCACCAGGTAATTGGAGGTCCTCCTCGATCTCCTTCCAGCTGTTCTGTGTCTTTATTTTGTCGTGGAAGTCCCTGTGGTACTTGTCCCACAACGCGGGGTATTCCTGTACCGCAGTTATTAGCCTCTCGCCCATCGTTGTTGTCGGTGTTATGTGTCTTGTGAACTGCAGCCACATGGGTCTGTGACGTCATCGACAACATTACTTTTGATTGGCCAGAGGTCTAGCAGGTCCAAATATTCGCCTGCGAATATCCGCAAAATTCGACACAGGAGCGAATAAATAAAAGCGGCTTTTCGCCCCGCGGAAAAATCGCCGCCAGTGTGGAAGCTCGCATTGACTTTATGCTGTTTTAAAAAAAGGCGAATAATTCGCCTGGTGAATTTTCGCCCGGTGTGTAAGGACCTTAAGAGTGTGTAACCTTCGTTTTTTCTGATGCAATTTGATACACAATAAGATCTTTCAGCTGTTCTTCAAACCTAGGTAACAAAACTTGAGATCGAAGCGGGTGAATTAAACAACTGCTGGATTCAAGAAACCAGTTAGTTTAGGAACCAGTAGGATGATATATTGGCTGCTGTTTTGACTGTTGACCTCCAGTAAAGTACACAATGTGGCGTCACGTGCAAAAACCATACGAAAGCACCTCTTTCTACTGTGTCACATGACTTCTTATTTTCATCAGATAAAAAGCTAGAGGACGTCATTAGGAGTTGACGTTGGAGAGGCTCCTGCAGCATCACCTTGACACAATGGACCTCTGACCAGGCTGCAGTATTTGAGGAGTTTGATGTGAGATCAGGCCAGACAATAAGTGAACCCCTGGAGTCTGCAGGGAAACTGAGGGGCAGGATTTGGGTTAGCCAACAAACTTTTGTCAGAGTCTGAATGTGTGTGTGTGTGTGTGTGTGTGTGTGTGTGTGTGTGTGTGTGTGTGTGTGTGTGTGTGTGTGTGTGTGTGTGTGTGTGTGATAAGACCTGGGACCTGTTCTATGAAGCAAGTTCAACCTTCAACTGCTCAACTTAGCGCGGTAGCCAGTGGTCTCACTAAACGGTCTTACGACGCTGGTTATCAACCCCGTAAGTGGATCCAGCTTTGCTATGAGTGCGTGCACGCATGTAAGGCGGAACCCGCCGCATCTGACCAATCACGAACATGGACCGGCCTGGAGCGTCAGGACCGCAGACTTTACAAACAAGGAGCAGGAGACGATCATGAGAAAGTATGAAGAATTCAAATCTATCATAAACCTCAAAAGCAACAACATCCCCGCTGCAAAAGCACGGAGGGAATGCTGGCAGAAAATTGATCTTTAAGCTATTATCACCCGGAAATAGCATTGTTCAACATGCGCTTTTAACTAAGGTGACCAGACGTCACCGATTTCCGGGGACAGTCCCTGAATTGGATGATCTGTCCCTGGCTAAAGCTGTCCCCGAAAATGTCCCCGAGTTAAGCGTTTCATGAATGAGAACAAAAATGTTGCATGTGGGCTAGAACAACGGTTATTACAGTGGGTAGGAAGCACAAGTAAGCAGTCCTGCACAACAGTATTTACGGGGGTTATTACAAGGGGCGTGCGCTGTTACTAAATAGTACCGAGATGTTGTCTGTAATCACGCCGCCCATGCCCATTCATTTCCAAGATGAATTCATTCATTTGTTCATTCCTATCCTGTTAACATTTTTTTGTGTGATATGTAGGCCATATGAGCCTTTCATAAAGGTGGTCATCCGGAAAAGTAAGTGGGTCAGTGAAGTCCCTGAAAACTCGCGCGTCGGAGTGCTCCTCGGACAATGCGAGCACCGAGTTCTATATATTTCCCTTTTCCTCTTCATCTCCTCTCTCAGAAACTTGAACTTTCCTCTCTCTCTCTTTCCCTCAACATTAACCTTTTCTCTCCATCTCTCAGACTGCCCGCATCTTTATTTATATTAATCACCTTCCTTCATCTCTCCATCCTTCTCTTCTGTCTTTCCCTCTGCTACTAAATTCACTTCATATCACTCACTCTCACACACATGCACATGCAGAAAAAGACAGGGCTTGGCAGCAACGATTACTGCAGTATTGGGATGCAAGTCCAACACATGACGGCACACACACACACACACACACACACACACACACACACACACACACACACACACACTAAGCCAGCCAGGAGCTCTGCGGTGCTGGGTGCAGTAAGGCATCATTATGATTACCTGAAGGTGATTCTGCCATTTCACCCTCCAACAGCTGACGAGGTAGCAACCAGAGCCAACCAATGCCAAATCCTCATCAACTTAGTGCGTGCTTTCCAACACAGATAATCCTGTCTACATGACAAACAGTGGAATACCATCACTCACACAGAACGATACAGCAGACCCACTTACAGGAATTCCCAGGATCACTCAGGAAACCAGTTGCATGTACCTGTAGTGTAACATAAGTGTTAAACCATTATGGAGACATCTGAACAATCTAGACATTTATAATGTGTTTCATTTTGAGCATTAATCTTAAAATACTGTGGCACCTGTAGTTTAGACAATGTATCAGCAGATGTAGCTGATCAGAAGTCACATTGGGAAGTTTAACAGGCTGTGACTTCATATGTAACCTCTTTATAATATTGAATTTCCCTTCGGGGATTAATAAAGTTCTTCTTGTTCTCATTTATTTGAACTTTAAAGCTCCTGTGAGTAACTTTCGCTTTGTGTGGATTCTGGCGCCCCCCTGTGGACACTTTGCATATTTCCTCCTTCTGTCTTTTATACTACATGGTCTCCACTGCGAAGGTTGATACCCAGTTTATGTGGTTCAGGTGATGGTACCAGGCTTCAGGTTTTGTTTATTTCTATCAGTTTGAGATATTGCTCTGGGAATTCAAACCAGGGGACAGAGCCATGGACACACCAAGGAAATGAACAACTAAATAAAGTGTTTGAATATTTTTATGCAGATTTTAATAAGATTTTGGTTTTACGCTTTTCTCTTGAATGTCATGCACGAAAGGAAGACTTACATTTTTTATTGGTCCTTTAATAAGATTCAACCTGAGTTTCCTGTTTTATAGAAAAGTATGATGTTTGATGTTTTAAGAAACACAGACTTGTTTTAAAATATGAAAATGATCACTTTATTGACAACACAACTGTAGCAATCAAGAAGACCCTGTGGGCTCTATTTTCGTGTACGCTGGTGAGGCGGCGGAGGGTGGTGGACCCTGCGCAGTTGTATTTTCGTCTGGCGGAGCCTGGCGTACAGCCACTTTGGTGTTTTCATGGACTGAGGCGCACGGAGGCGAACCGAGATCCACCAGTATAGGAGATAGGAGATTTGTTTGAAGTAAAGGGTATCATGAAGAAGGAACAGTACCACTCCACCCTCCAGCACCATGCTGTTCCATCTGGACTCAGACTTGTGGCTCATAAGTTTGTTTTTCAGCAAGACAATGACCCTAAGCACTCTGTCAAGCTCTGTCAGGGTTACCTACACAAAAAAGAAGAGGAAGGTGTTCTTCAAAAGATGGTTTGGCCCCCCTCCAGACCTTTCTCAATTGAGCTTGTGCGGGATGAATTGGATCGATCGGTCAGAAAAATGCGTCCCACGAATCAGCCGTTTCTTTTTAATGAACTTAAGAAAGCTTGGAATGCAATCCCTGGAAGATACCTTAAAAAACTTGTGGAACGAATGCCTGGTATATGCCAAGCTGTTGTTAAAGCCAGAGGAGGTTTCTTTAAAGAAAGCAAAGTCTAAGCAACAATAACTCAAATACCTTATAATTATAGTCAAAATGTCTTCTGATAAGTTACTCTTTACACAATAGTCATGTTTATTGTGTTGCAAATTATATGTATTAAACTATGATCTTTTTTGTACAAATCTGATCTTGTTTCCAAACTTTTGGCCTGTAATGTATATTGTACCATCATTTATCCTGTAATAAACAGATGATTATTTTTCTAAGCTCCTGTCTGTTAGTGTTCTTCCAGAAGTGGAGTCCCTGAAATGAGAATTTCTGCTTAAGATATGAGATTGATTAATTTAAGATTGACTTAATGTTTGATTTCTGAATTAAACTTTTGTTTATCTTTATTTTCCCACCATTAAGGGTGGGTGGTGCCCCTTTCAATGAGTGCATAAATGTCATAATTTATTAATCTTTAGACATTTATTAGAAACTCAAATCGCTACACAACAGTCAGAAATGCGTATGACCAGTACTTTAATCATCTGCATGACTGAAGTCAACCACTTCTGATCCCAGTCCAGTGGACCAGTAAAGGATCATTGGGATCCAGTTCAGGTCACAGTGAACCGTTTGATGTTGTCGCCTGTTTTTAGCAGCTTTTCCCTGAAAGCTGCAGTGAATCATCAGAGCCAGACTGAGGCTTTGCTGAAGCTAATCCCTGTTTTTAAAGCTATTCCAGACTGTGTGATTACATCCTGTGGAGCTAACAGTGAAACTGAATGTGGGGTGTGAAAATGTATTCAGAGAAAACATCAAAATTCAATAAACCATGTTCCACAAAATCACGCTGTGTGTTTGTAGATTCAGGCCATGCAGCCTAAACCTCACTTAAAAAAAAAAAAAAAAGCTCTTTCTTATAAAAGTGTGTCTGTTATTAGACCACCTAACATTGAGAACACAGTTTTACCACAGACACCTAGACCTGTCACAAATCTGACCTTCCTGTGCTCATGTGGTAACAGGATTTGTGGCAGAGTTTTTACAGTTTTGTCAGACCCCTGAAAAAGACCGGTTCTGCTTTTCTGTCAGTCTGAGACACCTATGGAGCAGCTTTGCAGCTCTATAAACTCTTAGGGCTCTATTTTGGTGCCTCGCCGGAGACGTGCCGCAAGCGCAGAGTCAATCAGATCCGCCGCGCTGACAAGGCGTTCCCAAGCACATTTTGGTATTTTGGTGAGCCGCGCAGCCCGGCGTAAGTATCCCCCCTCCCTAACTCAGCTCCTCCCGGCAGCATAAATCATAGACGGGGAGGAGAGGGCGTATAGGGGGTTTAACACAGCCGAGACCTGTTTTCACCAATCACATTAGCTCCTCTCCTCGCCTTTAAATCCGCCACAGGCGAGGCGTATTACTATTTTCATGAGGTAGTCAAAGAGATCAAGAGATGTCTGAAGATAGTTATGCCACACGATGGCGACAGAGGGCAGCTGCTCAACAAGTGTCCTCCACACTCTCTCATCTGAGCACAGATGGATTTGGTGTGCGCAATGTTGGACCCACTGGTAAGACAAACACCCTTTTCCACAAATAAAGACACTCACATAAAGTTGCATATATTCAAACCTCACGTGACAAAGGTGGGTTGAGCGCACAGATCACAACATAAACTCCAAAAATGGCATTAAAATCGGAACCATCTGTGCGTAAATGACGCATCGCGCTCCGTGGCCTGGCTCTTTCTTTCATAGATGTTGGCATATAAAATAAATTTGGCTCACAAAACTGAATATTACAATATCCGTATGTCGGCTTAAAGTAGATAACGCATCTGAGCACTGAAACAAATCATCTGTTCAGCCGCAGCAGCTGCAGCAAGACGGACAGAGGACACGGAGACGTGTCCAGGTGGAGCTGTGCGAGAAATAAGAGGAAGAAAGAAAAGGAGGGAGACACATTACATATCTTGTTAACTTCATCATGTGTGTTTATTTACTAGATATTTAATTTAATTTGATGCAGTTTCAGCTGTATTGATTCGGTCAGGTTGTGTGTCCAAACGCGTGCCAAACGCGCTCATAAGATCAGATATAGATCGGAATATATCGATATAGATCTAAATGTATGTGCTGACTCAGATTAATAGTTGTTGATCATTATTTATTGCACTGAAATCTGCCTGACACTGTGGAAACCTGCCGGTGAGGCATCAGTGACGTATGTCCATACGCCGCCGGTCTACCAAAATACTACTGGACCAGCTGCGTTCCGCCTTGCGCTGAAAGCTGACCAGGTTTGAATCGGCGAGCTTTCAGCGCACGTTACACGCCAGTGGCGAGCACGAAAATGTCACTGCGCCAGCTGATTCTGTCAACACCTCCCCCTGCCACGCCACCACGCCCAGCTTGGCGGATCTCGGCTCGCCTCCGTGCGACTCAGTCCACGAAAATACCAAACTCGCCTTACGCCAGGCTCCGCCAGACGAAAATACAACTGCGTGGGGCTCGCCGCCCTCCGCCGCCTCACCGGCGCGAACGAAAATAGAGCCCTTAGTCTATCTTGTACCAGCACTCACGAAAGCCCCCATTTCTGCACTTTTCAGCCTCTCCTCAAAAAGCCTTGTTTTCTATTGACAGAAAGTTTTATAGGTGTTACCTTTTACACAGCTGCGTAGTCATGAAATGACCCAAAAGTTACTCCTTTACAGAAAACACCTGCTCCTAGCTGTTAGCACTCACTCAGCTTAATGAGGGTCTTTCAAGATGATCAGAAGGTAAAAACTGACTGTTTTTTTTCTGGATCCTGCTCTGACTTCCCTTCACCACCTAAAGAAGACTTAGAGAAACTGTCAGAGAACGACTAAATCAACGAGGTCCAAAGTAGAAAACAAGATAACAGATTTCTTTGACAGAGCTGCAGGTGGGCTCGTCTTTTGGCATTGTCCTAACAGCAGTGCTTAATTTGTCCTCCAGGAGGTGCCGGGTCCCCCTCTGGAGCACGCGCCGTTAAAATATGCTTTTTTTCTCGGGTTTTTAACGCGTCTTTATTGTCTTTTTCACCTTAATTTCTGTATCTATCTAGTATAACATTTACCTTTTTGCATGCGGTGCCGGTGCGGAAACAAAACCATCCCAATGCGCATTGCGTTGTGACACGTGACGGCATAAATCACCTTTTCCCCCTGTTTTACCTAATTTCTGAGTAAAATGCATAATAAATAAGCCAACAGACGTCACTTCAGAGAGAAATAAAACACAGAGTAAACATAGATAAAAAAACACAGTTTATTTATTGACAGGGAAGGTCCCGGGGCAAATCAAACAGGTCCCGGAGCACGCTCCGGCTTGCTCCGGCACAAATTAAGCACTGCCTAACAGGCTGCACAACCTGACAGCATGGTGCAGCCCGGTCTTCAAACCTAGAAAACATCCAGAGTTCAGCTTACCAATCACATTTCTCACATTAGGAAACTTTCTCTCAGCAGCGTCCAATTAGGAACAGCCAAAGACCAACAAGCAGCAAGAGAGTTATCTGCAAGCTTAAAAAAAACGTTTTAGCAGAGAGCTTATACAGCTGCTAACTGTTGTGCAAATGGAGTTAAAGTTTCAAACAGATGAATAAAACATCTCTTGATAGTCAAGGCTTGAGAAAACATGTTCAGGAGCTAAAAAGCAGGATTGCTCTGATTGTCTGTGTCCTTTTAGTCAAATCGATATGAATCTATTCTGTCTGACATCTTTGCAGCATGAATATTTTCTGATAGCTGAGACAACCTGAAAAATGTTTTTTTCTTTTTTTTAATTATCAGATGCACCAAAAAAAAAAAAGAAAACAAAAACAAAAACAGAGTTAGTACATGCCACAGTGAAACTGCATAAAACTGCCTGGGTCTTAAAGTTTTTTTGTGCTTTTTCATCATTTGTTGATTCGCTCAAAACTGATCTCTCTCTTTCCCTCTCTTCCCCCTCTCTTTCTACTTCCACCCCCTGTATGTTGATGACAGCCTGATCTCCATGCGTTCATCTTCACGTCACACTCTATTATCAGTTCTGAATGCTGATGTGTGTTCACGTCAAAGTGATGCTTTTCATGTATGTGTTCACGTCTGTGTGTGAATGTGTGTGTGTGTGTGCTGCTGATGTGTGTCAGAGTGCCAGCGTGTGTGTGTGTGTGTGTGTGTGTGTGTGTGTGTGTGTGTGTGTGTTTGTGCATGTGTTAGCTGGAGGCCGTAAGCCAGAGCTGCTTTGGCAAAGTAAATATGCTAACAGAGACAGGCAGGCTGCCATCTCCCTCAGGTGCTCGGCTATCACACACACACACACGCGCGCGCGCGCGCACTCGTGTGTATTTAAGATTGACACAGACACACAGAAACACACGCAGGGTTGCTGGCGATCACATCAGTCCCCTTCCCTCACACACGGCAGAGTGCTCACATCAGCAGAAGAAGAAAATGTGCACTGACGTAAAAACAGGGAAATCTCTGAATCTGAGTATTTGAACTGACTTTTTATCAGAGAAGTGAGCGCGCTCACCAGGATGACCGAGATGATAACGAGTACAACATCAAAAAGAAGACGGGTACAGAGATCAGACAAGAGGACCCCCCTTTAAAGACCACCGCGGGCGGAGAGCTCCAGCTGAGTGTAAATCTGACACCTGTCCAAACATTACAATCGACCTGAAGTTACGCCCTGTGTGCTTGTTAGATTTCAGCCTCGTTTGTGTCACACCTGGGTCATACTGAAACGTCTCAGAAGGAGCAGAACTAGGTCTGTAAAGTCAGTCTATCGTTAATTAAAGAATTTCCCAGTTTGGGATGAACAAAGTCTATCTATCTATCTATTTTATTTGCTTTTGCTGCTGTAGGTACCAGGGGCCTCATGTATCAACGCTGGCGGCGCCAGAAAACCTTGCGTCCGCCAAGATCGGCGCACACGTCCAGATTTATCATCTCGAAACGAGCGTCGGATCCAGCGCTAATCAACGCAAAGTGAGGAGGTGGTGTAGAAGTTGGCGTTGAGCCGATACCTGCGTTGACGGCACTTTGGCGACGCTGTGTGGCGGTGTTTGGTGAATCACTATGTGACAAGCGTGCACCACATCCCCGTGGCCGAGCAGCACGTCGCCCCACATGACGAACCAGCAGCAGACGGAGGGATGCGAGCTGATCCCTGCCGGGCCGCAGTCCTCACGCGGGAGAATCTCATCGCCACAGTGTGAATGGGTAAGAAGTGAATACACAGTTCAATGAGCCAAATTAATTTATTTTCGCCACCAGACGCTCGAGGACATTTACGAGCCGGTCCAGCCGCTCGTTGATCCCCGCGATCCCCCTGATGATTTCTTCCTGTGATTGCAGGACCGCCTCCATGAGGACCCTTCCACTGCGTCCGGGTGGTCCAGCTGAAGCGCCGCGGCTGGTGGACGCTCCACCGCTTGTCGGCGCGCTAGTGCTGGTGCGGGGGCCGGGGTGGCCCGAATGCCGCTGGTCCTGGCCGACGACTCCGAGCCGGCGGACGGGCTGCCGCGGGCCCGGGTTCCGCAAGCTGGCGACACGGCCGACACATTGATTTCTGTGACACAATAAAAATATTGGTTCATTTCCATTCCTACTTTTGTGTATCTGTTGCGTTTACATCTCTCTCCACGGTATCATAGGTAATGTAATCCAGTATTTAGAGGTCAGTTATGCACATTACAATTGTTTATTGCATAAAAAGTTATCGAAAAATGAAGTTAAGGGCGAAGTATAAATCACGTCTAAAAATAGACTGAATCCCGACGTTGAAATGAAGTATAAACTTAGACTAGACGTCTAATATACGTCTTTTGCTCAGTGGGATGGCAAAGCATGTGGACATTTGTGTGACACGCCACTTACCCTATAATAATAATCGCCACCACCCGCTGCTCTAACAGCGTGAGGGTCTCCTCCCCCGGAACCCCACCTGTCTGGCCGGTACTCCTCCGGAGGGCAGCTGTACGCCGCTTGACCTCCACCTTGAGGTCCGACCACTTTTTTTTTTTTATCTCCGCGGGGGTGCGTGTCTCGGAACCCACCGCGTTCACCCTCTCGCAAACTTTCTCCCACTCCAAGCGTTTTCGTTTTGCACTGACGCCACTGGACAGGCTGCCAAACAAAACACGCTGTCGCTCCTCCACCTCCGCCACCAGCACCTCCACCTCGCACGCCGTGAATTTAGTTTTTCTTGTCATTTTGTCTGCGTGCGAGGACAGGGAGACCCTATTTAACCTGTTCTACCCTAAGCATATTTTAAGGAAAGAAAAACGCCTAAAAGACATACCCAAAGTAAATGAGGAATTACTACACTTTACTAAAGGTTATATGCATGTTCTTGGTGTCCTTGGACATCTAGAGACTTCAGAGAATGTGTTCCAAGTGTCAGAAGTGTTTTGTCTGTCATTATGCCTGAGTAAATTGGAATGAATCAGAGGAAAAGTTATGTTTTTTTACCCTCGCCAAAATGTTTTCTTTTTTTGACAGGGGAAAACACAATGCTGGCAATGATTCCAGGCCCCCAGATGACATTGATTAGCTTCATCCACTCCTTGACCACAAATGTACCAAATTTGATAGAATTTGGGCAAACAGTAAAGCCTACATGAAGGTTTTTGTAAGGGTACACCCAGGCGAGGACTCAGTTTGGCACAATTTGGCACACTTTGTGCCAAAATGTGCCAAATGGATTATTTTCTACCTCTGATGAGAACTGGCTCCAAATTACAATTTATTTCCATAAGACTAGTCTCCTACTACCTATTGGAGCTTTTAGATATGAAATTTACCTTTTGCCTCATCAATTTCTACCATTCTGCACAATATATTTGTTTATATGTAATACAGAATAGTGAAAAATAACAGGAACTTATACATTTCTTTCTTCACAGGGAGTATCTTTATTTGAAAAAAGTGCAAAAAGAGAAACAAACAAACATTCTGAGCAAACAATGTAAAATAAAAAGTAAAAGTGCAACAAATATTGTAAATTAAAAACAATATATAACAATATAAAATACAGCAAACACAGGTAGAGTAAATTAAATGTAATGAATACATATAAATGCAAAATTGAAGCAGTAAAGAGTGTATTATTTCTTTTAGAGACCAGAATCAAACAAATGATCAGTACACAAACCTTGATACAAGCAATGTCACCTTTCTTGCAGGTAAGGGTGGGGGTGGGGCGTCTGGTGCAGGGAGTACTGAAGGTGTGAAAACCCCTGATGGGGGGTGGGGGTGGATGTGCCTCACTCCCCTCTTCTTGGTGGCTGTGAAAATGGTGATCAATTACTATGCAGAACAAAAATAAATAACATTTGTACATTTCACTGAAGGACACAAAAGTTGTGGATATATGTAAACTTATTCACTAAATTGAGTAGCTCTTCTATATTTTGTTTGCATTTATATGTACTTCATTTATTTTTCTCATAAAGAATATATTCAAAGACAGATAAAATGCAGTATCTGCAAGCAAAGTAAGCCCAAAATAAACAGATATAGTGAAACTGCAGTAATATTCGATGCTATTGGATTGCCATACTTACTACGGTGTTTACAGTTTTATGACAAAGGTGTTCCATGCATATCAATTTACACAACACGGCTTTATAGATAAATGCAAATACTTACTAGTAAACTGGGTCCACTTCTGATGTAAACAATGCCTCCTCCTCGGAGCCGACGCCATTACTGAGTCAGACGAGTCCTCAGATTCACCGTCTGAGCCCCGCTGAATTTCTAATAAAATTTCCGCCATATCCCTCTAAGAGTTGAATGTTTCTTTTCCTGGTTGAAAAGTACTCAAGAGAAGTTTTATAAGTGGTGTAGAAAGTTTACAGGAGAGCCCCGAGTGATCAGTGTGCGATGCAGCATCCTGCCTTCGTCTGTGGGGCGCTGCACCTAAAAGCGCACAGATTACGAACACTTTACGCCCGGCTTTTTTCAAAGCTGGGAAATGTAGTCTTTGGAAAGATTGATGCCAATCGATTCAGTAGGTTCTCCCCTTTCAAATGACTACAGACATGGCCGGACGGAGCCTGTCTCCGCTACACTGTAAAGCTTTGATTCGGTCGATGTCGCAAAATTTAAATGCCCAGACAGAGACACCAAGACAGATTAAAATCGTCATAAAAAGGTAACGTTTACACTAAAAACAGACATCCGACCCAGTTCTGTGAACATTAGAGTCTAAACTTTGATTGAGAATTGAAAGTAAACACCGCGGTCAAGTTTCAATACATTTTTTACAGCGTTTAAATGTATGCAGCAAAATCTCGGCCCGGGAGAGGGACCGTCGGGCGCAAGGGTTAAATAAATCTGCATATTTATAGGAGGGCGTAACGGGGGCGGGCCCGGTCACTCCGACTTCTGCGCTCAATTCCAAACTGATTGGGATTTATCAATGAAACACACGTGGCTTTCGGCGCCCGCACACCTTGATTCATACAGATTTTTTTCAGCGTGACGGACCTTGCGTGCGCTCGTTTCTGGTATGATTCCCACGCAAGTGTTGATACATGAGGCCCCAGGACTCTCTGGGTCCCAGATGATCCCTCTGCTGAGACCTGAACCGGCAACCTTCAGCCCTCAGCATAAGCACCCTCCATGGAGGCTCTTCCTGTCTTCTTTCACAGAGCTGCATTTCAGCCTCTCCATCAAACTTGGGCCCTATATACAACATAAAGCTGGAGTTGCACACAGGGGAGGATGTTCCAGTTTAAGAAGACCAGTTAAGTCACATCTGGTTAATCTCCTGCCCTTGAATATAGAGGGAGTACAGATATGGGGACCAGAGCTGCAAACACTCACAAAAATGATTTAATGTGAGATTCAGAAACAGCTATGAGAGTTTCAGTCTGTATCTATTTGTGATTTTAAGCACCAGAGAAGAAGTGTGGGAAATACATCAGAGGTCTGGCTGTGTGTGACCAAAGCTGTTAAAGAGTGTTACAGGGTGGAAGTGTGAGGAAGAAAGTCTGTGTTAGAGGGAGTGAAAACGCCAATCGATGAAATCCCTCCACGCTCATATTGATATGAGAGATATCGAGTCCATGGCGAAATGACAGCTCATTTTGTCTTCAAACTGCCACCGTCTGTCACATTCCCTCCTGTCACACAGTCCTTCCCCGCTGGAGTTTGTCAGAGTAATAGCACGAGTATTGATGCAGAGCAGAGCTGAGGGAAGATTACTGTTATTAAAGGAGAATTACAAGCTGAGCGGACTTCTCTCTGCTTCTAGGAACACATGAGGAGAAGGTACAAGCTCTCTAACATTCAAATTACAGCGTTGGACAGAAAAACAGCTTAAGGTCAGAGGAAAGTGTGTCACTGCTTCAGTGTAATTTCTCTGCAGAATTTCATGTATTTTTAAAAGGATGGGTCCACTAACACCTGCATCCTCCTGCAGACATTCACTTCACCTTTATCCAAATAATCTTTGACTTGAATGATCTCCAAAAACAAAATAGCAGAAAGTTATAAGTCAAGTTGATTAATGCCTCCTGATTTGTAGTTTTTTAACTTGATTTGTCACCTGCAGGAACAAAAAAACAAAAACAAAAACAAAAAAACAATCCTCAGTTCGGTTTGTCCAATAAATCAGGCTGACAGATTCATCAGGTCTAATTATAATCAGCTAGAAACTAATCAGCAGTTAGCCAGTTCAGAGGGTGACGTTAATAAACTTCTGATTAGTTTAAACATCACAGAAAACATTTCAGCGTCTGAGATGGATGACACCGCAACTCAGATTTCTATAGTTTTCTTTAAAATGTTCGAAAGAGAGTAAATATGACTTTCATATTACAGTTTTTCTCAGTCGCTTTGGTACATTTCTCAGATCAGAATTGAAATTCTCAGAACTACGTGTTCAATCTTCACATCATTGTGCCACTTGTGCACATCAAAAAAGCAGTTTCTCATTTCTTTGAACAACTTGCAAATGCTTTGGTACATCCATGCAATTGATTATGTACAATTTTCTGCTGTTTTCTACATTATCAGTTGCTTATATCATGTTGATCAAAATGTTTTATAATGGGTCTCTGTTGAATAGTCTCACCTCCCTCAACATTTAGGCATTAGTTCATTGTCTTTACATGCAAAATGGTTGAACAAGCTGTCATAATATGTCAAGCATATTTCTATACATTTCCATCAGACGTTTCTGAATCTGTCCTGAATTGGTAAATTGCTCCCAGGTGAATCTTGACTTTCTCTAACGATGGGAAATGTGTGAAGCATTAGATCAACCAATGATCAACCACTTTTCTGAAATAGCTCAAAGGTGCATCTCATGAACCATCAACTGGCAAGTATATATATTGCCGGAGCACAACACAATGTTACAATGTCTGACAATGGAAGGACAAGGAATTGGATGGGGTCAACAGCCAGAGAGAAGAAGAGGAAGAGGAGTGAGGCTGCGTGGCGGAGGAGTTGGGAGGCAAAACAGAGAAAGAGGCAGAGGACATATGTGCGTTCCTGATGAGATAAGAGCTACACTTGTAGACCACGTTCTCAATCATGGGCTTACAATGGCTGAGGCTGGCCAAAGGGTGCAGCCAAATGTTGGGAGAACAACTGTGTCCTCAATCATTCAGACTTTTCGTTGACAGAACAGGTATGTATTCTAACAATAGGCACTGTACTGTAATACTGTATACTTTCTGTAATGCTTCATACAATATTGCAGTATTCGACTTTCATTTTACAATATACAGTAAGTATACTATATACAGTGACATTTTGGATGAGTGACATTTTGTGGATAAGAATTTGTGGCCCAACAGACAGGAACATCAGGAGGTGTAGGAAGACTGTACTGTAATTCCTACAGCACTGCATTTCCAGTTTTCCCTAAGGAAATTGTCCTATGTTCACATTTCTACTTTTGTTTTTTTGTTTTTTTTATTGTGCTCTGCAGTGCTGTCTTTTTCTTTTCTGTATCGCAATGACATGGTCTGTCATCAAATTACAGTCTCTTGCAATCAATCTCCCACATACACTGAGGTGTAACTTACAATTTACAATGATTGTCATCAAAACTTTAGCCATAGTTTACATCAGAACATCCCTCCAGAGTACACTGTTATATTGACAACATGACTAAGCAATTTGACTGTCTTATCCATACACAATGACACAAGGACTTGTCATTCTGATGGCACTGACATGTTCATTAACACAGATATTTACTTTTGAGAGATGTACTAAGGATTTTGAGCAAGAGACTGGCTTTTGCAGGTAATCCATGGTATTTTGCTGTTTGTACAAATTGTTTTGAGAAAAGGACTTACTGTTTTGCAAATGTCGAGGATGATTCGAGAAATGTACCAAAGCGACTGAGAAAAACTGTAAAGTGCCATATCTGTAAGAGGATCGAATGTTATCTCCAGATGTTATCAAATTCTCAAGGGGCCCCTCTAACAAGCATTAAACATATACATTATCTGAAACCAACAAAAGAGGTCAGAAACAGAAATTTTAAATATATATATGTTCTTAAGTTTATTAAAAAGAGACTGCTGATTCATGGGTCGTTTTTCTGACCGATCGATACAACTCATCCCGCACAAGCTCAACTGGAGAAAGGTCTGGTGACTGAGGGGGCCAAACCATCTTTTGAAGAACACCTTCCTCTTCTTTTTTGTCTAAGTAACCCTGACAGAGCTTGGCAGAGTGCTTAGGGTCATTGTCTTGCTGCAAAACAAACTTATGAGCCACAAGTCTGAGTCCAGATGGAACAGCATGGTGCTGGAGGATGGAGTGGTACTGTTCCTTCTTCATGATACCCTTAACTTCAAACAAATCTCCATCACCTGCAAAACATCCCCATACCATGGAACTACCACCTCCATGCTGAATTGTGGGTGCAACACATGGTGCTTTCAGAGGTTCACCAGTTTGTCTGCGGACATAGACTCTGCGTTTTGAACCAAACAGTGCAAACTTGTTTCTAGTCATCATAAGTCAAATTTTTGTGAGCTTTTGCCCACTCATATCTCTTTTTCTTGTTCTGTGGACGAAGTAGTGTTTTTTTGCAGATACACAACCCTTCAAACCAGCCTTTCTCAAACGTCATTTCACGGTTGTCAGAGATATGGGTTTCGACCTTGTCATGTTGATTTCCCCCCTTATTTTTGGTGCTGTCTTTAACTGATCTTTTTTTAGCTTTTGTAGTAACTCTCTTTCCTCCAGGTCTTTTTCCATCATCATAACATCCAGGTTCCTCTAGTCTCTTAAGAGTGTAGCTGACTCCTTTGTTAAACACCTTTAGGCGTTTTGCAATTTCTCTTTCTGTGTGTCCTTCTTTCCTCAATGAACAAATCGGTACTTTTGTTTCTTTACTCAGTTGCTTCTTTCTAGCCATTTTTTGCGGTAGTTTGAATGCAGTTGAGATTTAATACGATTTTTGTATGCAGACTCTCAAAAGCCGAAAAGTTGAAGCGAATAATCCAACTTTCACATCTGCCTGTTTGAATCTGGATTCGTTCTCAAACTCTCTGTAACATTAGTGTCTGCAGACTTCGTCAGTACCTCTGTATGAGAGTGACACTTTACTGGGATTCCCTTCAGGCACAGAGGACTGAAATATGCTTCATGTTACTGCCAGGTGGTTACTGAAACCCTTAAAGATGATGTCCCCCTAGCTAGTATTCAAATTATGAAGCTGCGTGTAGTCATTACAGTTTAGTATAAATAGATAAATGATGATTCTAAAAGGTTTAAATTGATGCTTGAGAACTTGCAATGGCTTACTCTGATAGCAATTAGTTACTTCCCCAGGCAGTGTCTGTAGCTAGCCCAGCAGCACAGTTCAACAAAAATCCACTCTGGAAACGCTTTTCGTGTTGAAGAAAAAATATAAAAAATCTTCAGTTTTATTTATTATAACCACAAGCATTATTCCACAGAATTACAAAGAAAGTGGCAGGCTAACACACTTGCTGTAACCAATCTTGCAGGAGCAGGTAAGAAAACTGATTGCTTCAATAGCTCCCAAGCACCTTCTGCCTGGCTCCAGATCAACAAAAAAATCACACGCACATACAGTATGTGGTCTTAAAGATTCACCAAATCACAAGAAAACATGAACTTTAGTATAATTTTTAACATATTCAACCACTGTTTGAACTTACGAATTAAACTATTTATCACATTTTAATCATGTTAACTGTATTTATAACCAACTGTTCTTCGGCCTCTACAATGATTATTCTTGATAATGTTTGGACGAACAGGATGAGGAGTCGTTACAGGATGTGTGCATCACTTTCATAGATGTTGGATGTTAATGGTGCATAGAGAAAGCATGCAT